GATGCAATTAATCGCGATTAATCGTTTGACAGCACTAGTTATTTTACATTGCAAGTAACAATTCTAATATTTATATCTCAAATTCTTCACTTTCAAATGTTCAAGTCATCAAACTTTTATTCTGGTAAAATATTGGTACAATGCGATAAATTTGGAAATGGTGCAAAATGTGTAAATAAAGTGAACACCGCATTCTCATTTACAATCAAAAAGCAGTAATTAGGAGTTTATTACGGGAAAACTAAGTTACTAGTGAATATGTGTTCCCCAATCTAACTCTTACCCTACGTATTTAATTAAAGTTCAGCCTTTGATTGAAAATCGCATTAAGCCATATGGTGAATTCAGTTTTATTTTGATTAACTGTGCAACCACATTTATTTGTTTTAATTATTAGTGTTCCATCAACACCTGCAGTTTCCTCACAAACCCCCATTTGGCGTAGGTTTAATGATCTTAATTTGGTTTTTGTTTGGTAAAAGTTGTTAACCTTCCAAATTGCATCTCTTTTACTTTACTCTTTGTACACAGATATGAAACTACTGCTCAAAGAAGTACGGTTGAGATGTAGGAAGCAGTACTTTTGGTGTTGTCGAGGTTTCCGTCTCTGGAGAGTTCAGTCGGTGGGTCTGGAGGCGTCTGCAGCACGGCCACACTGTTCTGGTTTATGATCTTCAGCTTGAGTTTGGGTTTGGAGCGTCTCCGCCGCGAGGCTGCATTGGCGAGACTCTGGAGCTGGGACAGACCAGACTCTGTCAGACAAACTCCGTCCTGGGTGTACGTCCTCGTCAGCTCTGTGGAGCAGAAACACAGAGGAACCTCATTGGAAACATGAAGAAATTTTTTTTTTCTTTTGCGCACAAAAAGTATTCTCGTAGCTTCGTAAAATTACGGTTGAGCCCCTGATGTCACATGGATTATTTTCCCGATCTCCTTGCTACGTTTCTGGACTTTGATCGTGGTAATTACATTGCTGTCTATGGGAGGGTCAGAGAGCTCTCAGAATTCATCAAAAATATCTTAATTTGTGTTCCGAAGATGACGGGTCTTACGGATTTAGAACGACATGAGGGTGAGTAATTAATGACAGAATTTTAATTTTTGGGTGAACTAACCCTTTAACATGAGTTAATACATTAACTAATATTAACTAACAATGAGCAATGCAATTGTTACGGTTTTTATTCAGCTGTTCATCGTTTGCTCATGTTAGCTCAGGTCAACTAAATAATAATAACAGACACAACTTGAACTTGTTTTAATAATGTATTTAAATGTTGAAAATTAACAATAACTAAGACTGACAAATGCATTAGAAGTATTTTTTATTGTTAGTTCACATTAAGTAATGAAGTTCATTATTGTGTTATCAAAACGTCTTTAAATGACTATAATTTGACACCTTTATAAATATGTAAAAAAAAAAAAATTGTAATATTTTAGTAAAGAGACATCATTACCAGGATCTCTTGTTTTTGTGACTCTCTGAGGCATGAAAACAGACTCGACTAAATCCAAACAAGACTTGGCCGGCGTTCCAGGCGCTGTGTAATGAACACACAAATACACAATGTCAACCAAAAAAAAAGATTTATAAACATAAACCAGGCTTGATTGTGCTAAAGCTTTGTTTACCGGGAGAGAGGGGTGTATGGCCTTGGCACAGACTGCAGTCAAAGCTGGTGTCTGCAATCTTCTCCACCTCTTCCTCTGAGAGGATTCCCTGACACGAGGCATGAATCCACCTGCAGACACAGCAGAAACGGCACGTTTGTATGACAGATTAGAACGATAACTCAAACTGTGCCGCGTATTGAGGAGAGGCATGAGAGACTTTTCTGTTTCAACATCTTCGACTTTTAGAACTTACAACTGTAGTTGACAAAAAACAGGTAAAAATATGAGTTAAATAAAGGGATTGAAATATCACTGGAGGTGGGAACCATTACACCCTAGTAACCACCAAGAACATACTAGCAACTGCATATCTGTTTTGGGGATTTTATTTTTTTTTGATGTTTTTGAAAGATATCTATTATGCTCACCGAGGCTGCATTTATTCGATAATAATACAGTAAAACAGTAATAATTAAAAATATTATTATTGTTCAAAATAACTATTTCTATTTTAATCTATTTTTAAGGAATAAAAGAATTAATTTTATTCCTGTGATGCAAAGCTGAATTTTCAGCATCATTGATCCAGTCCTCAGTGTCATATGATTCTTCAGAAATCAGTCTAATATGCTGATTTGCTGCTCAAGAAACATTTATTATTATTAGAAATGTTGAAAACAGTTGTGCTGCTTCATGTATTTGTGGAAACTGTGATAACTCAAGATTTTGTGATGAATAGAAAGTTCTAAATAACAGCAAATAAATATTTGAAATAGAATTTTTTTAAACATTACAAACGTCTTTACTGTCAGTTTTGATCAATTGTGTCCTTGCTGAATAAAAGTACACATTTCTTAAACACACACACACACACACACCAAAAGCTTAAAATCTATAGTAAACCCCTAGAATCCACTATCTGAACAGCTTATCAAATATATTTCACATATATTGTTTTGCACCAATTTCACCAATTTACACTGCACCAAGTTGTGTTAATTTCGTTGACGAATAATTTTCGTCATAATTTTCGTCAACGACATCTTTTTCACCGACGACAACGAGAAGATAATGAACTAAAACTCTTTTTGAATGACAAAAACTATGATGTAAATCTATTGACATTTTCGTCAATGAATAAAAACGAGACGAAAATGTTAGGGAGGGACGATTCGGGAAGAGATTCATTCAGAATGAATCTGCTGCGTGGTTCGGAGGTTAGATGCGTACATATGAACCATTGTAATATTTTAGTAAAGAGACATCATTACCAGGATCTCTTGTTTTTGTGACTCTCTGAGGCATGAAAACAGACTCGACTAAATCCAAACAAGACTTGGCCGGCGTTCCAGGCGCTGTGTAATGAACACACAAATACACAATGTCAACCAAAAAAAAAGATTTATAAACATAAACCAGGCTTGATTGTGCTAAAGCTTTGTTTACCGGGAGAGAGGGGTGTATGGCCTTGGCACAGACTGCAGTCAAAGCTGGTGTCTGCAATCTTCTCCACCTCTTCCTCTGAGAGGATTCCCTGACACGAGGCATGAATCCACCTGCAGACACAGCAGAAACGGCACGTTTGTATGACAGATTAGAACGATAACTCAAACTGTGCCGCGTATTGAGGAGAGGCATGAGAGACTTTTCTGTTTCAACATCTTCGACTTTTAGAACTTACAACTGTAGTTGACAAAAAACAGGTAAAAATATGAGTTAAATAAAGGGATTGAAATATCACTGGAGGTGGGAACCATTACACCCTAGTAACCACCAAGAACATACTAGCAACTGCATATCTGTTTTGGGGATTTTATTTTTTTTTGATGTTTTTGAAAGATATCTATTATGCTCACCGAGGCTGCATTTATTCGATAATAATACAGTAAAACAGTAATAATTAAAAATATTATTATTGTTCAACATAACTATTTCTATTTTAATCTATTTTTAAGGAATAAAAGAATTAATTTTATTCCTGTGATGCAAAGCTGAATTTTCAGCATCATTGATCCAGTCCTCAGTGTCATATGATTCTTCAGAAATCAGTCTAATATGCTGATTTGCTGCTCAAGAAACATTTATTATTATTAGAAATGTTGAAAACAGTTGTGCTGCTTCATGTATTTGTGGAAACTGTGATAACTCAAGATTTTGTGATGAATAGAAAGTTCTAAATAACAGCAAATAAATATTTGAAATAGAATTTTTTTAAACATTACAAACGTCTTTACTGTCAGTTTTGATCAATTGTGTCCTTGCTGAATAAAAGTACACATTTCTTAAACACACACACACACACACACACACACACACACACACACACACACCAAAAGCTTAAAATCTATAGTAAACCCCTAGAATCCACTATCTGAACAGCTTATCAAATATATTTCACATATATTGTTTTGCACCAATTTCACCAATTTACACTGCACCAAGTTGTGTTAATTTCGTTGACGAATAATTTTCGTCATAATTTTCGTCAACGACATCTTTTTCACCGACGACAACGAGAAGATAATGAACTAAAACTCTTTTTGAATGACAAAAACTATGATGTAAATCTATTGACATTTTCGTCAATGAATAAAAAAATATGACTAAAACTAAATGGCATTTTAGTCAAAAGACTATGACTAAAACTAAATCAAAATTTGCTGACAAAATTAACACTATTTTGCACGGGCCAGCATCTCCTCCTCAGAAACTGTATCTAGTAGGTATCTAGTATGTTTGATGGCAGAGATTTGAGAGTTGAAAGGAATCCAAGCACCCTAGCAGGTACATGCACAGAGCAGACCACAGCTCACCTGTCACACTGGCGGCACTGCAGGATGATCTCCTCCTCGTTGTAGTCCTGCTGGCACAGTGGGCATGATGCCAGGCTGGCGCAAGGGGCACACTGAGTGTAATTATTCTGCCACTCACACCTCAGACCCGCAGACGTGGCGCCGCACTGCGTACAGGACACACACCTGTGGGAGGCCAAAGCGAGCACAATGACATTAATCACACACCACAAAAGGTCCTCCATTGTAACTAGCAAGTATTCTTAAATTAACCACAAGAACAAAAAGCAGCTAAAGCACAGTTGAAATAAAATGATTTTGTAAAATGATGATTATTTTAACATAATATTTTGAAATATAGTAAATTAAAGGTGGGGTATGTATTTTTTCAAAAACGCTTTAGAAAACTCTCGGGCCGAGTACCAAAACAAACTTGTAGCCAATCAGCAGTAAGGGGCGTGTCTACTCATGATGTGGAGGAGAGAGCGCTCAGTGCACAGGACGGACATTAGCCGAGCCGAGCGACAGAAAGATAAAAAAAACAAAAGAGGAAAACGTCTGTGGAACAAAATAAGGCTTATGATGAGGCAAGAAGCAGGACCCGTGTAAATATCGGATCAGCTTTCCAGCGCTGGAGAGAACTCAAGGAGCGGAAGGCCTGTGATCGGACACCGAGGTTGCTTTGTTTCTTCTCGATAGGCGAGTAACACAGTGTCTGCGCCGCAACAGCTAAAGTCTGTCTACACTGGACACGATAAAGCGACTGTTGAAAATCATTTGAAATTTGTGTCAGTACGTCATAAATAGAACGCAGCAGCAATTTTCTGTCTGGGATTTGTCGTGTCGCGCCACTCCGCATCCAGTGTAGACAGCATCACTGATTATAATGAGTTTGTCGTGCCGCGCCGCTCGCGTCCGGTGTAGACACAGTGTAACATTGGTTTTGCTTTGTTTCACAGAACTAATCGTTGCCTGGGTTGTGTACATATGTGTGGGTCGGAGCTATCAAAATAGTGGCGAGACCCTCTTGGGGTAGGGGCGTGTTTGATTTGGTGATTTGAAATATAAACATTGGCTACCAGAAATCACTTTCCCCACCTTTAAAAACAGATTAATACTAGAAATTTTCACGTTAATACATTTTTTGATTTTATGTGATGTGGAATACCATTTGCATTTCCAGCTCCCATTGGGCACGTTCTGCAGGGGCGGGTCTAAGCAGTAGGTGTGGTAGCTGATGTCACAATTGTCACAGAGCAGCAGACGTCCGGGATCGCTGGCCTGACCGCACGCCTCACACACGGTACACTCCAAACACCGCCAGCCTTTACTCAGCACCACCTTAGTGATCTGACAACCAATGCATGTCAGTTAGCACATAAAGACAGAACTTTAAAAAAAAACTAAAGAACACAGTAGTTTGTAGTAGCAGAACAGCAGCTTTTTTCAAAAGCTTTTTTTTTTTTGCTGTATCCTACTGACATTAATTGTAGGGACAAAAACAAAAAATTTAGACATTTTTCAAAATTACCATCTTTTGTCTTCCACAGAAAAAAAGAAAAAGAAATAGGGGTGAACTATCCCTTTAAGTAAGTAAATTGGTTCTATCTTGACTAAGATCAAACAGACTAGGGTTATTACTGTTAACTAAAACAAACAAAAACTACTAAAACATTTCTGGTAATTGAAATAAAGCTGAAATAAAATAAAATACAACAAATATTAGATGAAAAACTTCATCTTCATATAATACATCTAAATACTTCAACAGCTTCAAGCATTAAAATTACTAACTGGAAAACAATAAAAACTAAAACTGAACTAAAACTAATAAATTATATCTAAACAGTAAAATATACATATACACACACACACACACACACACATATATATAAAACTATATGAATATAAAACGAAAATGACAAAAGCATATAACAAATGTACAAATAATTAAAATGATTAAAATTAAAAAAATTAAAATATAAAATTCCTGTGTTGCAAAGCTGAATTTTCAGCATCATTACTCCAGTCTTCAGTGACACATGATCCTTCAGAAATCATATATATATATGCTACACATACACTGTATATATATATATATATATATATGGAATCTGATGAATAGAAAGTTTAAAAGAACAACATTTATTTGAAGTATAAATCTTTTGTAATATTATAAATGTATTTACTCCCATGTTCTTAAATTTAATGCATTCTTGTGTTTAAAAACAAACACAGTGCTTGAATAATATCAATACAGTGTCGCCCTGCACGTATTTTACTGAAATATTTTATACTTAAGTAATTTCAGTGCTATTTTGGTTTTTAGCAATGCAGATTTTTAAAATCTTTTAATGTAATTTTCTTCCCAGGTCTGGCAATGTTTTTTTTTTGGCCAGTCATAATTAACACAACCATCAACACCTCCAACAGTATTAGAAAAAGGGAAGGATGTAATGGCCTCATCCTGCTCAGTGTGCTCACCTTTATGTTGACACAGAAGGGGTGGTAACACTGTCCACACTGAGCACAGGCCAGCAGTCGACCCTCCACACCCTGTCCAAAACTCCCACAAACCACACACATATCCTAAAGAAAACACACACACACACACACATTAGTGTAAGAGAGCAGCAGACTCCACATTTACAGCTGCAAGCAGCACGACCGCTCAGAAACATTTACCTGTTTCATAGTGAACGTGTCTGTACTAGAGAAAATCACTACTGTATTGTGCATGGCGTTTTCTTCCTCTTCCTTAAATGTGCAAATGGGTTCCATGATGTTTATCTGCAGCAACACAAACAGACCATACAGATAAACGGAGGAGCTGTATAGCAATTTATCCACATATCAGAACAAACCATGTAGTAGCTGTCAGATAATGTGGCGTACTCCTGGTGTAGGTATTGGAGGGACTCCATTCTTCATTCTGGCCCGGCCACGTCCTCCCCGGCCCGTGACACCCGAACCCCTGGGCCGTCTCCTGCTGGGGAAGCCAGATCCCCGGCCCTGCTGACACCACAGAGACACCATCAGGGTCATGTTCACTGCCAGAGAGTGATTCTCATCGAAAAGAAGAGGCTAAAGGAAGCAGTAGTAGCTTTATAATTGTGATAAATGTTCAATAGTGTGTAGTTACACTGTAATAACAATGCTATACACCCACTTTGCATTTATAATTTCACATTTCTGATGAAATACAGGGATCCTACACATTTCAATGAATTTCCATGGTTTTTCCAATAGTTTGTAATCACTGGACAAGGATTTTTCAAAAGTTTAGGGTCAGTAAGATTTTTTTTAATGAAAGAAATTAATACTTTTATCAAGCGAGAAAGCATTCAATTGATCAAAAATGACAGTAAAGTAACATTGGTACAAGAAATTAGATTTTAAATAAATACTGTTCTTTTAAGCTTGCAATAAAAATAAACAAATCCTGAAAAAAAGTATCACTGTTTCCACAAAAAGATTAAGCAAAAAAATAAATAAAAATAATAATATTAAAAAGAAAAAAAAAATATTGAGCAGCAAATCAGCATATTAGAATGATTTCTGAAGGATCATGTGACACATGTAATGATGCTGAAAATTCAGCTTTGTGTCACAGGAATAAATTATATTTTACAATATATTCAAATAGAAAACAGTTATCTTAAATTGCAATAATATTTCACAATATTACCGTTTTCACTGTATTTCTGGTCAAATAAATGCAGCCTTGGTGAGTATAACAGACTTCTTTCAAAAACATAAAAAATAAAAAAAACTTACTGACCCCAATATTTTGCTATTGAATATTTTAACGCTTAATGTAATTACAAAAATGTACAGTAACTATAAAAATATATAAAATATAAAAATTCTATTCATTTGCATAACATTTCCAAATCTGAAAAGTCTATTTTTATGGTATTTCCAGTTTTCCCAATGAACATGTCAACTCCGTCAACAGGATTTCAACCAAGCAAAGAAAAGCTATTTGATAGTATTGCTACAGCTAACTGAAAACTTCAGTAATTTATGAAATGATTTTAGCAGGCTGACAAACACATCTGATGTGTGATTAAATGGAGTGGCTAAAGAAAGGAAAATGATGTGATGCTCCAAACGGTGAAGCATTCAACTACTTTTCCTGTCATGTGAAGTTAGTCAAACAAATGAGCAGATTAATCTCATCTTACTTCTGTACACCACTTCAAAGAGCCTTCTTCAAACACTCTTGCTGACTTAGTCCTCTGCATGGACAGGACCGAAGCAATTGTGAGCAGGAAACAAGTCACCAAAGTTTTTTTTTCTCCTTATGCTTATATTTAATGACTGGCCCACCAGCTCAACTTTAATGCACTGTGATCAAATAACCAATCCAAACCAAACACGGCTCTCCCTCAATTTAACTAGCTGTCCCAGTGGAGCAACATTTCCCATAATGACACCAATTTTGCAGAGACCGTGACACTCGGTGTGAGACGGCATCTAAGGGAGCTGCCAACACGGCTATCAGGCTGTTGAGAGGCCTCGGCCGTGTTATTCTAGCGATTTCACTTCTATTACCCTGTCAGTGCGTTTCCTTTCCTCAGGGGCTGCCATTCTGACTGTCACAATCAAAACCCTTTCCAAGAATTACACTCCCTCCCTCCCTCGGCTTCACAACTACTGTTCCTCTCGCCGGACCATCAGCCCTTCTTTCAACTTCTGCCTCTGCCACTCACACTTGATCGTTTTTTAAATTGCTCCTTTCATCATTTGTGTTATGCTACCTGACTGGACTTAATGCTAAAATATTTTTCAGCTTCTGCTGTACCATATTAAATATATATGTGACCCTGGACCCTCTCGCTGGACCATCATTTCAGACTTCATGCTTTTTAAATTGGTCCTTTCATTATCTGTTTTATTCTATCTTTTTTGTATATATATTATGTTATTATATATATATATATATATTACCTTTTCTTTTTAGATATGTATTGTTCATTTATATAAACTAAAAATTATATGTATGTGACGTACTCTATTTTTACTATTTTTAATATATATATATATATATATATAT